TAAAGGCAGCCCTGTTTAGGGAAGCTTTTAATGTTTAATAGGTTGTTGTATTTTAGTGTTTTGTTGGAAGCCATCCAGAGTGGCTGGGGAAACCCAGCCAAATGGGCGGCGTATAAATAAATTATTATTATTATTATTATTATTATTATTATTATTATTATTATTCACCTTCTTCTTCCCAGCACACCTTGCTAAAACATTCTTTTCCTTTCTGTAACTTCACTTACACCACCACAACCACCTTGGCAACTTATTTCCCCAGACGAAAGGATTCCTTTTAGATGGGCCATCAACACCTTTTGTCATGTTAATGCCTCTATCCCAGGTGAGGCCTAGCTTGGAAGCTTAGCCTGTATTCTTCCACTGGCCTGCAGTCTTCCCTTCAGTACTCCAGATAATCAAACCCCAACATTTATTAATTTCTAGGGTTTAGACGGGGTTTCCCCCAATCTATAACACCATCAAATTGAGACATCTGGAACAGAAGGACGGAACAGCTTTTAAAAGAATGTGAAAAAATAGTGATTTTTTAATTTTAAAAAATACTTTAAAAATTAAAAATCACACACAATTTACAGTTCATTATCATCTGTTAACATTTTGTGTCATGTGCTTTGCAATTCTCTTAGATGTCTTCTCCTGAATATTTATTTCAAGATGAAAGACATTGGGCAGGCTGTGGGGGGGGGGGGGAGTTTGCATTTCAGAAAGAACATTTTCATGCTTCTATCTACCTGTCTATCAGAAATTTTATACCATTACTTTAATATTTTCTCATTAGGAAAGAAGGGAAAATATATGTATTGATAAAAGGAGATGAATAATCGTATACATTCACAATTAGAAAACCCTGAAGAAAAAGAACATGAATCAAATTAATCCAGACCACTCAATGTAAATTGCATGGTAACCTTACCATCTGACAGGGTCCCAACATAATAAATTCTATTTTATTTAGAAAGGGTTTGCCTGGAGAATTGTTAATGAGGTGCTCTCCTGATTATACCAGCTTTCTTCTTGCAGCCCCTTGAGATAATTGCGATTGCAGGATAATCATTTATTAGTGCAGTTTTTATTCTTTATTAGTCCAGTGGGATTTGTTACCAAAGGGTTTGCTGAGGCTACAATAATACTACTTTGATCAGGCTCTCTTTAAAGGTCAGAGAATGTGTCAAAAATTAGGACAAAAATTCAAAACACGTAGTGGGCATAGCATGCATTGTTGTAACTCTTCATCCTGCTAAGTTTACAATTAGCCGTCATTACTGATTAAATGCACTTTTTTAGGAAGCAGAATTTGCATAGAATAAGTTGATTTCTTCATCTCATATTAAATGCGGCATTAGTTCTGTATTAACATCTCTGAGGCGTCGTGGTGTCACGGCAGACCCAAATGACGCTGCCACATCTGGGCTGATGGATTTCAGGAAAAATGGCATTGCATAGAAAAGAAGCCTTTTGTGCTCCTGTGCGAGGTTACCATGGTAACTGAGCATGGCTTCATGGGAATTTCCCTTTTCTTGGTAATATTTAGATGCAGAAGCCAAAGCTTTTAGATGGTTCTTGAATTAGATTTTCCTGGCACTTGCCAGACACAGATTTCATTTCGACGATCATCACATCATAAACTGATCAAGAGCAGTGGGTGTTAATGTAAAAATATAAAGCAGCCTTATGAGGGTTCTGCACCCACATACCTCATGAGGTAATTTTCAATGGTAGTGGAAATAAAATCCGTCGTCTGGCAAGTGGCATAGAGCGGCAGCCATTAATCCCGGCACACTCTTGTCTTGTTGTGACTGGCATGCATGTAGACATGGGATCAGCAAACTTTTTCAGCAGGGGGCCGATCCACTGTCCCTTGGACCTTGTGTGGGGCCAGACTATATTTTTTTTTGGGGGGGGGGGAATGAACGAATTCCTATGCCCCACAAATAACCCAGAGTTGCATTTTAAATAAAAGCACACATTCTACTCATGTAAAAACACCAGGCAGGCCCCACAAATAACCCAGAGATGCATTTTAAATAAAAGGACACATTCTACTCATGTAAAAACAAGCTGATTCCTGGACTGTCCGTGGGCTGGATTTAGAAGGCGATTGGGCCAGATCCAGCCCACAGGCCTTAGTTTGCCTACCCATGACCTAGACTTTCATGCCAGATACAAAATGTTGTGGCTTAATGGAATAATACTCCTTTGCATGCAAAATCTTCCAGGTTCAATCCATGGCATCTCCAGGTGGGGCTGGAAGAATATCCCTGCCTGAAACCACAGAGATCTGCTGCTAGTTAGTGTAGACCAGTGATGGGCCTCCAGATTGTCAGGAGCAGTTCAAGAATAACTCATGAGGTGTCAGTGTTTCAATGAAACTTAACAGCTTAGGCCTAGTGAACACAGCAACTCTTCCCAATGAAGCAGTTGAGAGGTCTGAAGGCCCCCTTCCTTCCCACAGCTCCCTAAGTCTCCTCCCCCCCCCCCCGGTCCTTCTCAAGCAACCTAAGACTTCTTTGCCTAGTCTGTCATACCAGAAGAAGTATGAAGAGGGAGGACCCTCTTCACACTTCTTCTGGTTCTGGAAGACCCAGGGAGCCAGTCACAGCAGGAGGGGTAGACTTCCTGGCTTCTTCAGCAGCCAGCCTCATCTCTGCCTCTTGGCCCCCTTCCACTCCAGCCTCTGCTTCTGCCTTTGTTTCTGGACTGCTATCTGCCACAGTCTCTTTCTGCTCACTAAACCCTGTTGCTTCTTCAGCTTTCAATGCCTCTTCCTCCTCCTCCCAGTTTGCTTCCTCCTCTCCCTTTGCCCACTCACTGTTATCCCACCACCAATCCCCTGGCTTCAAGCCTTCATTCCTTGGGGGATTCCCCAGCTAGCGACTCCCACCACTCTTCTGCATGCAGCCAGTCCGTGACACAGAGGTTGCTAGACAACAGATACCATCATTCTCTCTGAATAGATAGTGCTCATCTCCAAAATCTGAGAATGTTTGCCCTTTAGCATTGGATCTTAAGGGTTATAGGAAACGAGAAGGACGTGTCCAAAAGTTCTAACATTTCACATCCAAATGAACACTTTCAAGAAACTCTTGTATTAAGGCTTTCCAGTATTTGTCAAATTCCTGACATTCATCGTCATATATTTATTAGATTAAATATTTATGATACAATAGAATTTGGCTGCAATTGTGTGTGTGCTTACTAGGGAGTTAGTGTCTACTGAGTTTACTGGAATAGAAATGCTTAGGATTGTTGTATAAATGTATTTAAATACAATTATATAACAAGTAAGTGAATATTACAAAGGCAAATGAATGTGACTGTACTAATAGTGAGTTCTTTAGCACCTTGGCAAAATGGTGCTGCTTTAATAGTTTATATGGAGAAATAGGAAGTGACAGAAAGGTCCAAGCCTCTACATCTACTCTGAAGCCACAATGAATAATGCATGGCCACAAAACTAAAACATGCAGTGTGGCAAAATGCAAAATTAGACATAGAATCATAGAAATGAAGAGTTGGAAGGGATCACAGGGATTATCTGGTCCAACCCCCTGCAATGCAGGGATTGCAGCTGGAGAATCCCTGACAGATGGCCATCCAGCTTCTGATTAAAAACCTCCAGTGAAGGAGAATCCACTACCTTCCAATGTAGTCCATTCCACTGTGAAACATCTGTTACCATCTAAAGGTTCTTCCTAATGTTTAGTCAGAATCTTGGCTCTTGTTAATTGAATCTATTGGTTTGGGCCCTACCCTCCAGAGCAGCAGAAAACAAGCTTGATCCATCTTCCATGTAGCAGCCCTTTAGATATTTGAAAATGGCTTTCATATCACCTTTTACTCAACTCCCTAAACAGTTCCTCTTAAGGCTTGCATTCCAGACTCTTCATCACCTTGGTTGCCCTCCCCTGCGCACCTTTCAGCTTCTCAATATCCTTCTTAAATTGTGGTACCCAGAACTGGACACAGGACTGCAGGTGAGGTCTGACCAAGGCCAAAGGCAGTGGCACTATTACTTCCTTTGGTCTGGACACTAAATTTCTGTTCATCCAGCCTAGGATAATGCACACAAGTGCACTAAATACAATTTCATTTTTTATTGTGTAGGAAATGTTTTAATTCCTACCTTAAAGGGTGAATCCTCCCAAGATAGCATACGCTTAAAATATTAAACAGGATTCCTATCATTCTTCTTTATTCAGATACATTCAAGGCCTCCTAGGCCAACACTCTTTTGTTCCAGTTGAGATGATGATGATTAATGAATCACTTATATGTCTCAAGGTGATTTACAGTTGCATCATAAAAAAAATAGCTAAAATGCGTTTAAAAATAGTACAAAGGATATCGACAAGCTGGAACATGTGCTGAGGAGAGCGACCAAGATTATCAAGGGTCTGGAAACGAAGCCTGATGAGGAAACGTTGAGGGAGTTGGGTGTGCTTTAGCCTGGAGAAGGGGAGACTGAGAGGATATATGATAGCTATCTTCAAAGGGTTGTCACATGGAAGATGGAGCAAGCTTGTTTTCTCATGCTTTAGAGGGTAGAACCCAAAGCAATGGCTTCAAGTAACAAGAAAGGAGATTCCAGCTAAACATCAGGAAGACCTTAATGATGCTAAGAGCCATTCTACAATAGAATGGACTCCCTTGGAAGGTGGTGGACTGTCCTTCCTTGGAGGTTGGATAGCCATCCCTCATGGATGGTTTACTTGGGATTTCTGCATTGTAGTTGGTTTCAACTAGATGGCCTCTGGGGTCCCTTCCAATTCTTAGAATTCTACAATTCTACAACTTGTTGAAATGAAGTTGTCTTCTGTTGCTTGAGAAGAGTACAGACATGAAAGAAGTTGCCTGATACTGAGTTGGAACAGCCTAGCCTAGCATTAACTCTTCCACAGGTGTAAGTCTGAAACCCTCCTGATCTTGTTGGACACCAGCTCTGGTCACCCCCAACTATTGGCCTTGCTAGCTGGAGCTGAAGGGAGTTGGAGTTTGGCAACATCTGGAGGGCCCCCAGATGTTCCAACTGGCAGTAGATCACCATGGTCTCAAGCAGAGGTTTCCCCCCAGCTCTGCTTCTGACAAGCTGCACACCTCTGATGATTCTCTGTGTTAGCCAAATCATGCTCAACCAAAATAAGGAATTGTTCTCTTTCACACCTGCCCCTGTCATTTTAGCACTTTTAAGACCTTCTGCATGGAAGGCATATGCAACACCACTGAGTTCTGACATTACACCCATAAGAGTCAGTCTATACCCAGTAGATTATTAATTACCTGTCAGAGGTCTGGGTGGAATAGGCTTGAGTTATTTGATACCGATTTCCTTCCATGGGGTTGGGAATGACAAAGCCATTTTAAACACTGCTGCTTTTATGAGGCAAGAATGTGATGTTCTGAGCAAACATTAATGAACAGGTAGAGGACCTCAAGTACCAACAGCTGAGATGGATGGTCGCTATTGAAATATGGAAGTGTTGGTCTACGTCTGTCTCCATTGCTTCTTCCTATATCAGTCAGAAATGCTTCTGAGCTGCTTCAGCATTCAGTTTAATTAAAAAACAACAACCAAACTTCAGCTCCCCGGAGGTGTTTTCATCAGTGCCTAGTCACACAACATTTGGCTGTAGTGTTGACCACCCCCCACCCCCCCACCCCCAGTTCCCTAACAGCTTGGTTGTTTTGTGTTTTCTGTGCTGAGATGCTGTTGTTTTCCTGACATGGAGGGCAAAGAACTAAAGTCAGGCAAGCTTAGCTCACTGTTTGGTTCTCGGTTGCTGGAGCGGCACTGGCAACAAACAATTCTCTTTTTCATCCTGTAGGAAGGACTTCTTGCAGCTCACACTTGAAAACAGTTGAAAGAGAAAATGCGCCCACTTCTGAGCGCAAAGTGCTCAGAAATTGTTGTTGTGCTAGTACCTGGTTTGCATGAATTCGGTTTCCGCGTAAGACAGTGTTGTTTGCACAATACACTTCCTTGGCAATTGGACCAATTTCGTATGGGTTCCATCCGTGCCATCAATGCGCGTTTACTCAGAAATAAGCCTCACTGTGCTCCAGGAAGCTCTCTGCCAACTCAGTGTGCATATAATTGCAGCTCCTAAACTGCTTAGAAACCATTTTGGCAAGTAAGCAGCATATAATTGTAGTAGTAATAGTAGCAGCAGAAGCAATATAGAATGCTGTAAAGGGTAAACCTACATGTTACCTTAAATGTATAACCAGTTCCACCACATTTATCAACCCTGCATCCCAGTAGCATTCATACAATCATAATGGCTACAATCCTGGAGGAGGGTAAACCATAATTTCCTGTCAGTTGCATATCCCCCCTGTCTTTCATAATTATTTCATTCATATTTAGTTACTTTGGAAGTGATTCATTCCTTTTTAGGAACCCCCCCCCCCCGGAAATCAGTGGAGTTTTTTTCAGCAGGAGACCCACCCTGCCTTCTATAATGTTGGCATTTCAAATATGAATGACACGGGTTCTAGACAGTAGGGGCACCATACTTTTCAAATATAAGGAAGATTGGTAATGGCATCTCCACCAAAAAGTAATTAAAATGGGGTGATAAAACCAGGGGCGTCTTACCCATAGAGGCTAGTGGTGCAGGACGCCGGGGGCCAAGTTCTGGAGGGCGCCAGGGAAGAGGCAGAGGCTGGATGTAGCGCCTTCCGGCATCAGCTCGCCGCCCTCACCTGCCTCCGCCATGCCCTCGCTGGAGCCTCCGTCTGCCGTGGCCACCGTGGCATAAAGCGGCCAACTGAGCTGGAAGGCACCGCAACCAGCCGCTGCCTCTTCCCCACCGGAGGAGCCGCCCTCCAGCTTCTGCCCACCTCCTCCAGCCCCGCCAGCAGCTCTGTCCTCCCTAAAAAAACTCTGGGAAATGGGGGGGGGGGGACGCCAGAAGGAGCTTTGCACCACAGTGCCGGATATGCTTAAGACGGCCCTGGATATAACTTCACATTACATTCAGTGGCAAATGAAGCTGAATTTGCCACCTGTATTTCTGGTGTTCCGCACCCACACAGCAAGACATTTGTACGTGTTGCAATTTAATGGATGCTCCACAAGAGCATCACATTTTCTAAGTTTCAAAAAGATTGGGCAAAAGGGTGCCGAGAGAAAATAATAATAATAATGCCATTTGAATTTATCTGAACTGAGCTTCTGGGTCAAAGTTTCAATGGTTTAATTAGTCTGCTTATAATATTTCAAACTATGAAATTCAAGCAAAAATAATTCCAAATTAAAATAAATACAAAAAAGTAATAAAAAAAGAATAAGTTTTTAACTTGGTTAATTCAGTTAAATGAGTTAATTAGTTAATTCAGATGAATTTAAATTCACATTTAAGAAACCTGAATTAAGAAATATTAATGTGTCACTTTCATATTGCACTTTGGGTTAAGAGAATGTGCATCCCTAGTGGAAACTGTGTATTAAATAAAAGTAGAACACAGCTAGATTGAGCTCTGTGTGGAAAACAATGGGTTAGCCCTTTGAAACCAATAGATTTACGTTCACTGATTTCAGTGGATCGACTGTTCTCATGACTTATTTTTTTAATTATACACATTTTTACCGCTTAATATAAAAATATCTAAGCAGTTTACAGAAAAGCAACAAAAAGAGTAACATATCCTTTAAAATAATTAAAAACAGAACAAAACAATATATCACAGATAAAACTGAGCAGCGTACAAAACAAAATTAAAAATTAAGAGTCAGAGGCCATGAAAGCTTGGGTAGATTTTTTTAATTATTTTTAAAAAATATTTTATTAAGGATTTTCTTGTTTTACAGAAGTGTAGTGCCTCGTATTTTTTTTTTCATGTAACATTTTTACAAATCCGTTTCATTTGTTGAGGCATTAGGGGAGAAGAAAAAAAGAAAAGAAAAAAGAAAGGGGGGGTGGAGAGAGGGAAGATGGATAGGGGTGGGGTCGGGTGGCGGTGTTTCTATTATGTTTAATGTATGTAGAGTTTGGTGTCAGCGTTGCTTGTGTTGTTCACTTGTGTTCCTTTGGTGGTGAGAGAGGTTGGGGTTGGCCTAGGGTGTGATTGTTTGCTTGTGATTGGCTGTGGTGATCTTTGTTTTCGTGTGTGAGTGAGGTGGGTGGGTGTTTTGGATCAGGTTAGCCATATTGATTTGTATGCTGTTGGTGGATTATTGTCATTGTCCTGTTGGGCTGTGTATGTGATAAAGGGAGCCATACCGGGGTGAAGGCGTCTTCTTCTGTTTGTCCCCGTGTCAGTTTCAGTTTATTAGTTAATTTTTCTAGTAGGGCTGTTTCCCATACTATTTGGTACCATTGGTCCATGCTTACTCCTGACAGGTCTCTCCAGTGTCTGGTTATGGTGTTTCTGGCTGCTGAGAGCAGGTGGGTTATGAGTTCTTTGTGGTGTAAATGGGCATTGTTGTCTTGGAAGATGTTTAGTAGGGCCAATTCTGGGGTGATGTCTATTACTTGCTTAGTTATTTTACGTATTTCTTGTATGGCTGTTGTCCAGAATAGTTGGATTTTGGGACACTCCCACCACATGTGGAGGTATGTGCCTGTGGAGGTGCACCCTCTCCAGCATTTTGGTGAGGTTCCTGGGTGTATTAGCGCTAGTTTCCTTGGTGTTAGTTAGTTTCCTTGGTGTAGGTGAGTTTCAGTGTGAGTTCTTTTCTTTTCGTTGATATGGATTTAAAGGGGGGTTTAGACCACATTCTGGTCCATTGAGTGGGGTTAATCTCATAGCCTATGTCATTCTCCCATTGTTTTTTGATTGCGTCTAGGGAATTTGCGGGATTTTGGAGTAGTATTTTGTATATTGCGGATACCGTCCCTTTACCGTTTCCCTTTGTTGTTAGGAGGAGGTTTTCGAAGGTTGTCAGGGGCCTAGTTGCTGCTGATTTTACTGTTGGGTTGTTTAAGAGGGCATGTAGTTGGTGTTGATGGTGCTGGAGGAGACTCTTGAGAGTCCCATGGACTGCAAGAAGATCAAACCTCTCCATTCTTAAGGAAATCAGCCCTGAGTGCTCACTGGAAGGACAGATCCTGAAGCTGAGGCTCCAATACTTTGGCCACCTCATGAGAAGAGAAGACTCCCTGGAAAAGACCCTGATGTTGGGAAAGATGGAGGGCACAAGGAGAAGGGGACGACAGAGAATGAGATGGTTGGATGGTGTTCTTGAAGCTACCAGCATGAGTTTGATCAAACTGCGGGAGGCAGTGGAGGACAGAAGTGCCTGGCGTGCTCTGGTCCATGGGGTCACGAAGAGTCGGACACGACTAAACGACTAAACAACAACAACAAGTTGGTGTTGTGTTAACCAGGGCATTTGGGTGTCTTCTAGTTTGTCTTGTATTTCTTGTGTTGACAAATTTTTGAGGAGCATTTAAAAGCCATTGCTGATTCTGTCTTTCAAATTGCCCAAGGCAATTTGAGGGAATTGCTCGGGGTGGATGCTATTAAGGAGAAGGCCGAATTCTGCGTTGTCACCAAATGACAAGCTCCTGGTCATAGCTGGATGTGATCTTTTGTTTCTTTGAGCATGAGATTCGGTCATTGTAGGCTTGGGGTGTCATTCTATGTACTGGAAGGAATCTTCCATTAATAGGTCTTTGCTGGTGGCTCCCGTTTTATTTGCCTGTTTGGATAGTTAGTTTATTTCTGAAGATTCTGTGCTGGATTCCATATTGAGAAAATCATGTCTCAGTATTCCTCTTGGGACTGCTAACGTTTATTTATTGTGCAAATCTATATTCAACCCCTCATCACTTTTGTGATCCCAGGGTTGGGTAGCAATGATTTATAAAGCTATAACAAAAGGTTTAAAACAACAGCACAATTTGCAACATGACACAGTGTGAAATGGCGGACAACAACAGTGATCAAGACCTTTCCAACAAAAATACAACAGCGGGACGGAAACCTCCTTAGCAGCATTGCATCAGCAGATGCATCCCAGTAAATAGCTCCCATCAGCACCCCATCAAACAAACAAATGAACAAACAAACTGCCTATGTAGAAAAAGCAGAGGAGGGAGGATTCCCTCTGTTGCCTTGTGCATGGGGTGTTTTGTTGTTGTTTGCTTTTGGAGGAGAGTATTAAAGCACGCCTCCCTCCAATTTTGTATCACATGCTTTCCCCCCTAGAAATGTGGGTTATAAATGTTACCTCCTCTGAGGGGCTAATCACATTAAATATACTCCCCCCCAAAGTACAGAACAACATTCTGATCATCTGCAGACATTAGAAGAAAAATATGTCTAATAAGGGAGATCAAGCAGTGGTTGTTGAATACTCTGATTCAGACAGACTTTGTGCTTCTAGTTTTCAAAAAGTGTTAAGTGGAACGAAATATTCCTGTTCGTGGATGTGTGGAAACAATAAATCCTAGACAGTGAATCGCTACTTTGCCCCCTCTTGAACTGAAGATAATGTTTCTATCTTATCGCTTAAAATCACTTTTAATCAAGATGTTAAGTGCTGCCCTCATCTTTAGAATTCTTTATGAAGAAGGAAACTGCTAAGCCTTTCAGGTGTTAGAAGGAGAGAGAAAAAAGTCACGTTAATTCAATTTTTAATCATTGTTGTAAGTGAAAGCACTATGATACTTCAGAGGTGCTAACGGGTTCTAGTAACATTTCACCAGCGATGATAAAAACACGCACCACTGACTTTCCTTGCATATGTAAAGTGTCCTAGGATAAGCTTTGTCTGCTATAGCTGCTAACTATTAATGACTAACTGAATACACCTATTTAGCAAGTTATCTCCCTCGTTTCCTGCTGTTTCAAACAATCTGCAACCATTATCACCACACAGTCATACTTAATTTGTATGATTCCCTCATGAAGAATAGGGCCCTATCCAAACTTGAGCATTATTTAGCAGTTAATCTATTTGAATTAGACCTGAGGAGTCCACACTTGCACATATTTGAATTTGTATATGAGGAACAACTTACCGTAGGTCTTTCCTGCCAAACCCTCCAAGTGCCCCTATTTTCCAGGGACAGTCCAGATTTACAGAAGCCATCCCAGTTTCTCATTTGATCCCAAAATGTCCCTTCTTTCCTTAGAATGTCCCTATTTTCGTTGGAGAGATGTTGGAGGGTATGGAGTTATGCGATCCTCGAGCCATGGAAATAAGTAACTATATAACCTTTAGAAGGCATCCAAAAGCAGCCCTGTATAGGGAAGGTTTTTTTAAAATGTTTAATGTTTATATATATATATTAGAAGCCATCCAGAGTGGCAGGGCACCCCAGTCATATGGGTGGGATGATGATGATAGTAATAATAGTGGAATAGGATGTCCCTATGTTGCGCTGTGGTCTAAACCACAGAGCCTAGGGCTTGCTGATCAGAAGGTTGGCTTTTCAAATCCCCACAACGGGGTGAGCTCCCATTGCTCGGTCCCTGCTCCTGCCAACCTAGCAGTTTGAAAGCACGTCAAAGTGCAAGTAGATAAATAGGTACCTCTCCAGCGGGAAGGTAAACGGTGTTTCCGTGTGCTGCTCTGGTTCGCCAGAAGCGGCTTAGACATGCTGGCCACATGACCCGGAAGCTGTCTGCGGACAAACGCCGACTCCCTTGGTCCATAAAGCGAGATGAGCACCGCAACCCCAGCTTCATCCGCGACTGGACTTAACGGTCAGGGGGCCCTTTATGTTCATTGGAGAAATGTTGGAGGGTATGTATACCAATAGGCATTCCTTTTCTGCTTGCTCCACTTTATAAATTGCTGATTCTATTATACCAATTACTGGTAGATTGTAAATACAGTCGTACCTCGGGTTAAGTACTTAATTCGTTCCGGAGGTCCGTTCTTAACCTGAAACTGTTCTTAACCTGAAGCACCACTTTAGCTAATGGGGCCTCCTGCTGCCACCGCGCTGCCGGAGCACGATTTCTGTTCTTATCCTGAAGCAATGTTCTTAACCAGAAGCACTGTTTCTGGGTTAGCAGAGTCTGTAACCTGAAGCGTATGTAACCTGAGGTACCACTGTAGCTGTGTAATCCTTGAATGAAGGAGAGTATGGAAATAAAAGACATACATATATACATACATACTGGCAGGGCATGTATGCAGATAGCACATTGGCTTGGGTTTCTTCATCTTCTTTTAATAACTCAGGAAGTGCACAAAAGCACTCAGTCAGGCAATTGTGAATTTGCCTGCGCAGATTTCTGGTTTTGTGCAAATCGAAGGAGTCAAAAGAAACATTCCTCTGTTCAGGGGCATGCTTCGGAAACAAGCATAGCTGAAAAACAAGCATAGCAGTTGTCAATTCTCAGCACACAATTTTCAGGCGGCTGCACTGTATATCTGAGGTAGGGATTTTTAATGTGGCTTGCTGGTGCAGTTTTCTGGTTAGGTGCAAATCTGAGGGATAAAAAGTGGGTGGGTGGGAGATCCTCCATTCAGTACTGCACCATAAATAGCTACAAGCACTGCCAGAAATTAAATGAAAGCACTGAGGAAGTAGTGAGCACGGAAAGGGGAATAGCAGAAAGTGACAATTCAACCACACACTCCAAAACACTAAAACAAGTTGTCTGCAACCCTGAGTAAAGCAGTTTGGAACCTGATTTCTCAAAATTTATTGGATTATCCCATTACAGGTAAACCTGAATTTATAGAGGGAAACCATCAATATTGGCTTGTTTGAGGGGGACAAGAAGAAGCAGAATTCCTACTGCATGAACAGATGTCCACTCTCCTATAATATTAACTATCAAAAAGAATAGTTCACACATGCCCATGGACTGCTCGTTTTCTGCTTTGCTTTATATTTGAAACCTTGCAAAGAGCAGAAGTTGCAATGCTTTTGCAAATTGTAAACTATATGTTTTCGTCACAGCCCATTGATCCGAAAGTT